AGCATATCCATAGCATCAGGTAAATACCTTGTGACAGACTGGATGTCCAGGGGTGGCTTACAGGTCAGGGTACTTGACAGCGTGCAGCAGGGTCCACACCCTACGAGAGTAACTACGGGGGCCACTCACGGCCCAAACTGCCAGAGATGAATCAGGGATGGGGATAGGAATGGGGGAACTCTAAGTTTGCTCTAAATTAAGAAATACATCCGGGTACATCTGCGCCCATCTTCATGTCCCCACCGGGAGGCCTGGCAGAACGAGCGGTCGCCAGCTGCTCTCAAGCTCAGCTCCAGGCCTTTAGGGCACCCACGCCTCCGCGGCTCCTGCCCCAGCATCAATACTCGGTTTGGCCGAGGCCGCTCTGGGAGCCTTTGATTCCACCGTGTGTACAGACTGCTTCTCTGTCCAGCCTCCAGAGGTTGTGGCCTTAATAAGAGACTCAGAGTTTCACCCACCGTCCTGCAGGGTGCATCTCGGAAGGGAAGCCTCACTCAGGCATCCCCGCAGGGAGCCCGCTGTGGTTCTCTGGTCGTGGGGACAGATGACACTTTGGCTCCCGCTTTCCTCCCTTTGAGTCTTCCAGGACCCTGACCATGGTAACATCAGAGACTTGCTGAAGCAAGTTTTTTATTAGTCAATTTCCCTCCCCTAGGTGATGACTTTTAATTAATGACACATTTCTTAAAGATGAGCCAAAGAAGGAGGCACATAAACACAGAACTGCATCCAGGAGAGCTTTTATTCGTACGGAACAGTTTTAAAAATACAGAATAAAATAGCTTTATCTCTACTATTATTCACAACATCTGGTCCAAATAGTACATATTTTTAAAATACTTAAACGTTTAATGAAGCCATGTTAGAAAAACAATATGAAAATTCTTTTTAAAAATTCCATAAAAGAATTACACATCTCAAAAAACAACCCCACCCCCAAATACCCTTGGTATGCAAAATAAACATAAAAAACAAACAAAGAAAATCCCCAAAAGGTATATAGCCAAAGTCAGTCACAAAAACTCAAGGAAAATATAGGCATCCCCACTGCTTTAAGAACAGTCAGAAATTTATTAATGTGTCAAACAAAGGTGGTTACCAACGAACAGAAAAGGGTATTAACTCGAATTGTCAGTAGGACGGCTGCCCTGGTGTGGGGGCCCTACGCGCCAGGAAACAAACACAGGAAATCGAGGGGCGCTGGATGGGACTTCTGCGGAGTGAGGACGAGGCACAGTCAAGAACCACCTCAAAGGACAGGAATGTGTGTGAGGCTGCCGCAAAGGGGTGCCCAGCGCTAATGTGCTTTCTGCGTCCACGGGGCTGGGGGGAGCCGAGTGCCGGCACCACGGGCAGTCTTCTTGCGCCGCCACTGCAGGTGAAGTGGCGAGGATCCAAATCCTAAAGGGACAGAGCACCACACGCACAGCGTGTGAAACCCCCAGGCGCTTCTCTGAGGCCAAGGGTGGTGCCCGCAAAGAGACTCCCCAAAGTCTCAGGCCCACCCCAGGGCCCAGGGGTAGGGTGCCCGTGCAATGCTGCCACCCAGCGCTGGCCAGGTCCCAGAATGAGGCCTCTGCCACAGCCACCTAGCCACCTGCCACTCCTGCCACATTGGTATTATGCAAGATGACCATTGCCAACTTCAAGTCTAAGTTGCCAGTACCGGTATTTCAGCAGGGCCGTGAACTAAGGAAGTAACAACTTAACTCGTGGTGATAAAACAGACGCATGGGTAAATAAAGTATACACACATACTAGAGATTCATCAATGGAGAAATTCTATTATCACATGACATTGTCATGAAAATTATATCATTCCCTCCCTGGAAAACTGTGACTATTATCCTGGGTAGAAATGTTACTTTACTATATGGAAATACTGCAATATTCATGCATAAACCAAGGCGCCATCAGGAAAGTAAGTATTCTACAGTATAAAGCAAATCCTGCATGTGAATTTGTCACCATGAAAATGGGAAACCATCGGGACTTGGGATGCTTCAGCTGGCCTGGTTAAGCCACTTTTCTCCTTCACCAATCACCAGAAACTCACTACAAGTTAACAGCTAAAACTGTCTTGAGAAAGACTCTGTATGAATGAATCGAAGTTTAATTACCTAGTGAGACAAAGATTGGAGCCATTTCCCATTATTCTGTCAACCATGTTAGATGTTTTATTAAAACCAGTGGTGGGATCTCCCTTGCCACCCACCGTGATATGACAGCATCAACCGTCCTTATAAACACTTTCTACTTCTCACATCAAGATCACCAAGGTGAATGTAAAGATGGTGGGTAGGTGGTCACTATGGAAACGAGTCTGAATGGCCTGCCCAAGGACATTTACATCCAAAACACTTTGAAACATTCCACTGGCCAAACAAAGCCTGGTGGGTATGCGCCCCAGCAGTGCAGGCCAACAATGTAAGTGGTAAGTGTACAGGTACAGATGAGGCACGGCCACGGTGTTCCCCCAAACTTCCCTTTCACGTGTGTGCTTAAGCCTCAGGAGCAGATGAATCCATCTTTCTCTTGATTACAGACTGGTTCTACAGCATATCTGCCAGCAGGAGGACCACTGTCAAAAATGGCATTCATCAGGAGACTCCAACCACTCAAGCAAAGGTGAGTTTCACAGGCCGCGCAGAGGTACCAGACTCAATGGGACCTGTAATCGGGCTGCCTTCTCTCCTCCCCACCTCCTGTCCCCCTTCCCCATGCCTTAGGGAATCCAAAGTTGGCCCCAATAGAGCAAGAAGGGGAAAACGCCTCATTTCTAACAGAGGGTCGAGGTCCAGGGCTTCCCTCCACAATGAAATGCTTGCAGAAGACATCCATCACCCAAACCAGCAGACCTACAACCTCCCAATAAAACCCAGTCCAAGGAGGGGTTTCAGAAGGGAGGGAGTGTCTGGATGTTTGAAGCACATATCCTGAGTGTCACTCACTGGGACGGACGATGCCAGGTTGAAAGTTAAGATTATCCAATGGTTCAGATGCTTTTATTTGTATATTTGGTCCTTCTGCTCCCTTAGTGAGCTAGGAGCTCTGGTATGTTTAACAGTGTTCCCCACTTTTCAGGGCAGAGAAATTAGAGATGCTGAGCAAAAACACAAACAGAAGGAAACTAAGAGCGCCTTGGAGCAGGAGGGCTTCTGACATCAAGTGCTTACCAACCAAGTCACGGGGACGACCGTCGCTAAACAGTGTGCTTCCAAAGTTAACTAGGCATCAGGTATAATTTTTAAAAACATACAAAATTCAATGTAATTTAGAATCTAATTTTTTAAACTTAATCTGCAACCAGATCTTGGCAAAACAATGCAGGGCTCTGAACTGTTCTTGCTAGAATATACTTTGCAGCCTCAAACTTCCCAGGAGCCAGGGAGGCTGCAGTGACAATCACGCTGCCAAAGACACCCCAGCGAGGTGGAGCGGAGCCGGCTATGGGAGCAGTGAACGCACCCTGGGGACACGAGGCTTCGGGGAGCCATGCTCTGCTATCAGAGACAGGAACACCTGCGGCCACCCAAGGCTCAGCCAGGTCAACGAACCATCTAGGAAGCACCACCTCACGTGGCAAGGTCACTACTTGGTGTTTCAGGGTTTTCCTTTGGCTGACAAATTTTAAACCGTATTTCAAAGAAGTCACTTTTTTCAGAAAGGATTTAGTGTTATTAATGAGAACCCGACAGAAGGGGCCCTGCCACCTGCTTTTCTCACCACCATTCTGCAATGACTTAAATAGGAAAGGTGCTTTTGGCCAGGGGGGTCTACTCTACCCCTCTGCAAAAGCAAGATCCAGTGGACACACAACATGGCAACCCACACAGAGTCTCCTTAAGCCTTAAGTGCCAGAAAAGACTCAAAACAGAACTGCAGTGATGAATTTACCAGGATGCCTGACCATTCAATATGGCGACTCTGCCGATTACCTACCCCCAGCTTCCCTTCTTCACAAAACAAATTCACGTATAACTTAACCCATAAGGTTTCTGGGCTCTGGTCCAGTAGTCAGTTTTGATAAATAGATTAGGCATTACAGTATTTACACTTTCATGGTATCAAGCAATACAAAACACACCCACAATAATGGTTACTGGCCTTCAAAAGCCATGATGACAAGCTTCCCTGATGGTGTCCACAGCTTTACAAATGCTGGTTCTTTTCTTAATGGGAGGTGAGGGGTGGGGGACAAGTGACAGGGATGCAAGGTAAGAGGGTCACATGGAAAACACTGATTTCAAAAACCTGCTATAGTCAATAACATTAAATAGGAATAAAATCTTGTAATTTATAGACACGCGCAACAGTAACTGACATCCACATGACAGCAGAGTCAAGACTCCCATGAACATCTGCTTAGTGCCATCGTGTGGCACTCTACACCCATCGCACCAGCCCGGAGTGATAAATGTCAGATAGAGTGTCTCCATTAGAGTGAAAAAGAAGCCCGTATGAAATGTGCTGGCCCAGCCTGGGCCAGGATGGCACCAAGAAAGAGCAGTTGAGAATCAGATTCAACTTTAAGATACTTTCCCTTCCCTTCCAATCCCCCAAATAGATTTCAATTCTAAGAACATCTGTACAGACCTTACTCATACACAGACATGGGCCTGGGGTAACCATGTCATGGTTTTCAATCAGGCCAATAGCTTCCCTCTACAGGAGTATCAGGGAACACAGAATCACATTTGACCCATCAGTTGTGACAGTGTAAGGATACTGGTGCCCCGTGACCAGAGGGGGTCTCTGTGGGTTGCAGGCCAAGGTCAAATTAAATAGGAGCAGGTCCAGGTGATTCTGGGACAGAAAGCCCCTGGACCATGGAGGCAGCTTGTAGGAAAGCTAGTCCAGGGTGCTGGAAGGAGACCAAAACCAAGGAAATGCTGTGGATTTCAAACACCCACTCCCACAGGAGGATAGGAACTTCAAGTTCAATGGACGCTCTTAAGGGCAAGGGGTAGGGCTTAAATAAGGAGACAAGTGAGACACGATATTAGACACGATCACCACCCACAACAAAAAAGCTATCTGTAATTGTCTTAGCTCTGGTGCAGAATGTAAATGCAGATATACAAACATATAGGTTACTGCTTGTTACTCAGCAAGGAACTACAGATTCATGCCCCACTGCGGCCGGGCCACAGGTGACCTACAACTATACCGTGGCCTGCGAGTCCTCATCCGGACTCCGGCTGGTGGCGCTCTTCCCAAGGCCTTTCCACGTGTAGCCCGCAAAGGTTGGGCTGATGGGTAAGTAGCTGAAGCATCTGTATTTTTTAATAATGTTCATGCCAAATGGCAAATCGTAGGACTCCATGCCATCGAGCGACTTGCTCCCTTTGCCCACACCCTTCTTCCATTTCCTGATTCCTCTTTCCTCTGGAGTACCTGGAACACACACATACAGACACACACATAGAGCAATACAAAGGAATATTTAGCTTGACAGTTCCACCAGGAACTGAGCTTGCCCGGCGAGCTGTCCCGCATAGGGAGCTGCCGGGAGGACAGCAAGGAGCCCTTAAGGAGGAGTTGGTGGCACTCAGCCATCCAGGTGCCTGAGCCAGAAATCTAAGAATCGCTAACCCATCCTTGTGCTTTTTGCTCCACATTCAAGTCATCTGATGGCTCCAGCCTCCTCCCTGTCCTTCCACATGACCCATTTCCTCCCCTGTCACTGTTGAGGTCCGGAGCATGCCTCATTACCGCTTTCCGGGGTCATCACAACAGTCCCCTTACTGCCTGCTCTTCCATCTCACCATCTCCTTCCTCCAATCTATTCTCACAAAACCACAAAATGGGACCCATTTATAATGCCTTCAACAACTGGTCAGGGCAAACCACCCGCATCCAGGCATAATGAGTTCTATCCTACTTTGCTCCGTGTGTGTGTGTGTGTGTGTGTGTGTGTGTGTGTGTGAGAGAGAGAGAGAGAGAGAGAGAGAGAGAGAGAGATGGGGTGGAGGGAGACAAGGAGAGGGATACACCTGCTCTGTATTCTCCACTTGTCATGCCCCTTTTGTGAGGATGAATTCTACTGGCATGAACATTCGGGGACACTGTACCCCAACAGATGAGTGAGGGAGAATGATGTGGGCCCACTGGGCTCAGCAACTGCTGAGCCTTGGATTTGATTCATAAATCTTTCCAGTGCAGAGAGGCGTACTGGCACCTGCCCTTGGTTACACAGGACATACTTCTGTTCCCAAGCCTAGATGACGAGTTTGAGTCCCCAGTGAGTAGAAGGAACATCATTATTCTCTTACATCTAAACTATTCCCTATGCCCTCCGGTCAGTGTTTCTGTGACGGGGCTCATTCCCACCCGTCTGACTCCCAAGCCTGCCTCTCAGTTTGCTCTGAGAGTGTGTGTTACTGACATCCGTGAATCTAACGTGGTCCACGAATTCGTGCACGTGACTCCCTCTGCCTGATGTGTTCATCCCCAGTTTCCCCAGCAACCTCTTCACAGAGGCTTTTTGGAGGTGTGCGGTCTTCAGGGGAAATACCTCAACGGAACCTTCTAGCTCAAGAATAAGCATCAGCCTTCCTTGAGGGAAGGTGAATCCACCCGCACGTCCACAGAAGCACTTTCCTGCCTCCTCTGGGAAGCTGGGAAGGCTGCGAGACAGGACCCACATCACCTCCTCTTCCAGCACCCAGCACTGGGCATAGAACGCACACCGGAGGAACAAGGGTTGCAGGTGTCGGGAAGAGAGTCACCTCCACTGGTCCCTCAGTCACCGATCCTGACAACAGCCCGCGCCGACCATACTCACTATCTTGAGGTCTTAGTTGGCAGGGCCCTGCCTCAGGAAGGAGGAGGAACCCCCACAGAATGTCAGCAGCTCAGAGGCGTGTCTGAGCAGGCTGATGAAAGCCGCTGCGGGGACTGAGCCGGGCTGCACAGGGGGGGCAGACAGCCTGGAGAGTGACCACGGTGAGGGACTTCCTTGCTTTCTCCTAACTGAGCAAGGAGGAAAAAACCTGCCAGGTTTATCAGCAAAAACCGGACTCACAAAAGGAGGCTGGGAGTGTCATCTTAACCACTTAAAAGACCGTCTTAACCACCAATGGCTCCGAGCTGATTCGTTCTGCCTGCTTCCCTATTTACTTGGCAAAACGAGTGCTTCACGTGTGGAATAAGCTTGCGTGTATGTACCACATACCTGGGATGGTATTATCCAAAATAAAAGCCACGCAGCCTCCTACAAACATGGCAGTTGTGAGAAGAACGTTCAACACCTGATCAATTCCTGTTATCCCTGGAAACAGAACACAGTGTTAGGGTCACGGCCATGGCCAGGAAGGAGCACTGGGGGCAGAGGGGGCAGGGGAGCCACCAATCACCAGTCAATGTGATGCACGAAAGCATAAATTTCTGTTGGACATGCGTAGATAAATTTTTGCCAGTAACACTTTAAACTTTTATAAATAATTTCAACAATAATTAAGAGGTTACTCCTATAAGGAAAATTCCCCAACAGTGGTTCCCAGAAGAAAAATCTAAGAGTGAAGCTCACCCTATAATGAACTAAAAAGCCACTGGGGTGTGGTGTTAGTAGATTAGGAAAAGAAAATTAATAAAAAGATGGTTGGTGTAAGGCTGAAAATATCGCAAAGTGAGTAAGACAACAAAAATATCTGTGGTGTTTGCAATCAGATAAAGGGTTTCAGAATCCTGGATCACTGTGCTTAGCTGCTTTTAAAGGATTTTATTTATTTATTTATCTATTTATTTATTTGACAGAGAGAGAGAGAGAGCGCGCGCGCGAGCGCGCCCAAGTAGGCAGAGCGGCAGGCAGAGGGAGAGGGAGAAGCAGGCTCTCCACTGAGCAGAGAGTCCGATGTGGGGCTCGATCCCAGGACCCTGGGATCATGACCTGAGCCGAAGGCAGCCGCTTAACCGACTGAGCCACCCAGGCGCCCCTGTGCTTAGCTGCTTTTAATTAGGAGCAACTGCATGTATATAAATGAACTCATATGAACGTGATATATTAAAATATAAAAAGCATCAAGAATCTCCTTGTTATTAGAAACTCTCACAATTTCTTTATTAAAAACATATGATCCTTAGGAGTGCCTGGGTGGCTCAGTGTGTTTTGGCTCAGGTCATGATCTCAGAGTCGTGAGATCAAGCCCTGCATCAGGCTCCACGATAGGTATAGAGTCTGCTTGAGGTTCTCTCTCCCCCTCTGCCTTTGTCCTCCCCCGCTTAAAAAAAGTTTCCCTTTGTTCATTTTTCATGACATCAGGTTATTAAAATAAAAAGGTGTTAAAAAGGTTAATCGTGAATTCAAAAGTTACAATCCTGGTAGAAAGACATGTATTTGAAAGTCTATGAAGCTGAGTTTTAAGGAATAATACATTTTCATAAAGCATTAGTCTGAGAAATCAAAAGGTTTTACACACAGGCACTGTCCCAAAAGACAGGGTCCCAGTCAATAAAGCGACCTTAATGTACACATGAGTCACGTGCAGCCGCCAGCTCATGCTGGATGCGCAGGGGGCTTCCAGATCGGCGGTGGCAGAGTGAGGCTTGAATCAAACACATGGACAGATGTCAGAGGAGACAACTCCTGAGGTTCCAGTGCCCTCTGTGACAGGGGGTGGGGTGTCTGTGAACCGACAGCTGGGGTTCCAACTACTCCCAAGACTCAAGGCCAGTTTTCCTTACCTGTGACGAGAGGGTTCTGTCTGAGGTAACTTGGAAGGACGAGCCCGAAGAATATTGAAAATCCAAGCACAAAGAGGTTCCGGGAAGAATTTAAGTCGATGAACTGCAGGTTGGAGAGCCCAACAGCTGTGATCATTCCTGAAGAGAAACAGCAGATGGCAAGTTGCACGGAGCTCACCTACAGACGGGTGACGGGCCTTGCAGACTCCCCACATCGTCCCTTCTCTGTCCCACCAGAAACCAGCTGGGACACAGAACAGGGACGGGATGGGGTCAGAAAGTGACCACCTGGCTCTCTGATCCAAACGGCTCACGGCTGACACAGGGACACAAACATCACACGACACCTTCTTTAAACCAAGCAGAAAACTGAGGACATCGGTTGCCCCCTGAAAACCTCTATACAAACATCTTGACTCAACTGGGAAAGCCACCCGAAGATCTGAGCCCTGTTCACAACTAGATGGCACAGAGATCATGTCGAGTGCCGCGGTAAAAATGGTCAGTTTTAAATGGCCATTCAGGGGAGAAGTTAAATCGATTAGATACACCAATTAAAGATTAAGGTCATCTTATTTTTCCTAGCACAAGTATTCTACATTTGGTTCTACCTTTAACATAAATTCAACTCAGAGACGGCTGAAGGTTTTCATGTTTTGAAGATGTATCCCCTTTGTATTTTTAAACAGAAATGTATTATTATCTCCCATCTCACGGAAGGGATTCATTAGCAAATGTGAAGAGGAGGAGAGAGGCTACCAAGGAAATGGGATCTTACCGAATAGAGTACAGAAGAGGGCGCCGAGCACGGGATCGGGGAGGGAGGCGAAGAGGGCACTGAACTTGCCGATCATGCCCAGCGCCAGCATGAGGGCCGCGCCATACTGGATCACCCGGCGACTGCCAACCTGCGGGACACACCAGAAGCAGACGGCACTCAGTGCCAGTTCTGCGCCCATTCTCATCCAGTGCCCCCCACCCTACCCCCATCCTGGAGCAAGTGTAACAAAACCCCACACATCCCCTAGATCCTGAAAACTTGTTGTTAAGACAGGTCTCATCAGATAGTGACGATTGACCTCAGGGAACCATTGCTATACAGACACCCCAAGTAAAGAGATTCCTCTCCTCTAGCTCATCCTGTCCACGCCCCAGGAGGAGGGCAGCACCAGGGCTCAGCCTCTGCTTCCCTGCACTCTGGGTAATGTCATTTCGGCATGGCTGTGCTCCAGCTGTCGGGTCCCAGGTTTCGAATGCCCTTACATTCAGCAGCTAGGATGACCTAACATCAAACACAAAAACCCTGTTTCATCCTGCTTTTCTCTTCTGGGCTCTTGGAATCACCCTTTACCAAGTTAACCACCCCAAAGCAATTCACCTTCGTCTCCATCTTCCCCACACCCCGAATCAGACAACAGCCCTGGATAATTCTGGAATCCCCTCTCAAGGAGCTTTGCTCGTGAGAGGTGGCACAGCCAAGAGGCAAAGGAGTGTGGATTCTCAGTGCCCCCTGCCTGGTGTGTACCCCACTCCGCTCTATCCATGTGACCAGGACAAGTCACTTGGCCTCTCTGGGTGGCGGGATCCTCACTTCTATAATGATAAACCACAAGGTTTGGCTTTAGGGGTTAAATGAGACAAGGTGGAAAACAGCGTGAACAGCACCTGGCAAGCATGAGGCCATAATGACAGCCTCCCAGCTAGGTTTGCTGACTCTGGCCTTTCCTTTGCCTCCCTGTCCTCTCCACTGTGGTAGAGTGACCTTTCAAACACAGCGATGTGGGATGTCAATGCTCCTTTGCCCCCGCCTTAAATCCTCTGGTGCTCATGAAATAAAATCCCTTTACAGACATCCCTAGACCTGTCTACCCAGAACACACCCACATCCCCCCCTTTCTGGCTGGTTCTAGACACGTCCTTCAGAAAACTGCCCAAATGCTACCTCCTCTTTAAAAAAAAAAGTCTTCCTTGATTCCAACGCTCTGCCTTCCCACACTGGGCCTCTGCAGAACCATTATATTTTCCACACGGTCTCATTTTTATCTGCTCAACCTGCTCTCTGCCTTCTGGAAACTTCTACCTATCCTGCTGTCCCCTAGGCAGTGGGATGTGGAGCAGACAATAGGTTCAAGAATCCTGTACTGTTGGCCCCTACTGTGTGCTGTCTCTTCCAGGAAAACACCCTGAGCATATAAACGGAGTAAAAGAGGCTCCAGAAGGGACTGGGGAGTGTCCATAGGGCTTTAAGTATGACTTACAGTGAGAAGATGGCTACTTAAATTTAATTAAAATGAAATGAAAAGAAATGTCAGCTCTAGTCCCTCAGTCGCACCAGCCACTATATCAAGTGCTCATCAGGAACACATTGGGTGGTCCCCGTACAGAACAGCAGCGCAGGCGAATGTCCACTGTGCCCACCACCACACCATGCTTTCGCTGGCTCGCATTGGTCTAGAGCTTCCAGCAGCATCTCAGAGGACCCAAACGTCAGTTGGTTAAGAATCAGAGAAGAATCTTACTGAGCTGACGGAGGGATGGCTGTTCCGCCCAGCTGACCCTGGAGGCCAGGCTCAGCTTTTACAATCTACAGTTCCCCACCTCTCCCACTGAATCTTCGAGTGCAGGGAAGCAGCAAGAAAGGGTATGCAAACTGGAGAATCGAGCAAAAATGACTTCTGCTGGGTGGCGTTACATGGTAAGGAAGCCTGCTGCTTTCAGCAAACGTTTTTGGGAACCTACTCTGTGACCAGCACTTGTTAGACCAGAGGGGGAGGGGAATATGGAGAGGAGTAAGCCACAGACTCACGATCACATCACAGATCACATCACAGCACTGCCACAGTTCTTACGGGCTGTGGGAAGCCAGGTGGGAGGAGGAGCTGGGAGGAGCTGCGGAGGGCTGCACAGAGACGGTCTCAGGGGATGAGGAAGAGCTCCCCAGAGGAAGAGCATCCAGGGGAACCACCTGTGCGAAGCCCACCCTCCCAGCCGATCAGAGATGCCAGGGGGAGGCCGAGGCTGGCCCTAGGGACCCTTGAAACAATAAACCTTTATGAAGACTAACCGTCAGAAAAGGCTGATCTGCCTTGAAGGCTCAAAATAAACAAGCAGCAGCTAAGTCATTCTTCAGCTCGATGACTGAACCAAGTGCCGAGTGCCTATTACACACTTCTGTGAGCGACGTGGGGAGCACAGGCCTAATCCCTGTCCCCTCAGTGCTGACGTAGAACCTTTGCCTCACCCCTCCTGCTGCCCACTCTCTGGACTCCCTTCCCTGCCTCCATTCTGAACTCCTTCTTGAACTCTGACTTTGCCTCTAGGGCCATCAAAAACACTGAACCCTCATTTCTGACTTGCCCAAGTCTTCAACAGTGTGGGACACGGCAGGGGAGAAATGGCCTTCCTCTGAAGGGACTGCTCTGGCAGGAGAGGTGGGGTTTACTCAGTCCCTAGAAATAAACTTAGGGCTAAATATCAAGCAGGGACCCTACCTACTGCTTACTGTATACCTACACGCCCGACTCTGCTACATGCATTATACCAATTTATTAATTCTAATGGCTGGCCAGCTGTCTTTATAGACAAGAGCATGGAGACACAGGGAGGTGATGTAATCTGTCCAGAGCCACATCGGGACAAAGTCACAGCACCAGGGCTGCAATACCAAACAGCCACCTCCCCACCCCGTCATGCCACCCCCCTTTGCAGGACAGACACCAGAGCACACTCAGAAGAGAAGACCTACTCATGGAATCCCACCTGACGGCTTCCAAGCACACAACAGGGGAGCTGGCGGCCTCAGCTCCTGATCAAACAGCTTAGGATCTCCACGTACAGAGAACAACAGGAGTGGATACGGGGTAACAAGAATCCGGGCTGCCAGGACATGGAGGCAGATCCCTGGGAAGAACCAGAGATCACCCTCTTTCCATAGCCCTGGATGTTGGACACAATGGCCCAGACCAGTGCTGTCTGCAGAACTTTCTACAAGGATGGACATGTCTTATATCTGTACTGCCCATCGAAAGCCACTAGCCACATGTGACTACTGAGCCCTTGAAATGTGGCTAGTGTGACTAAGGAACTTAATTTTTCTTTTTAACAAACTTAAAAGAGCCACATGCAGCTACTCTCAAATTGGGCAGCGCAGATCCAGGTCTAGAATTGTCAGATTTCAGAGCTGAGAGTTCTGCTCAGACAAGTGACTTGTCCCAAGTCCTTCCACTAGATGAGGGGCAGAATATAGTCTCCAACTCGTGCCTCCTTCCTCCTGGACAGAGTCCTTCCAATGGCTGCATGGCTGGGGCCAAAAAGAAATTTCTGCTGTGAGTCCCACTTCCCACCCCAAGGCAGCTACATCCCCACTGTGAGTCGGGGCAATGAAAACCAATTCCAGGAGGATCAGTTTTAAAGGGGTGCAGAAGGGAGCTGGCTTGTTAAACTGTTTTGCCCCAAGTCCTTCTGTCTATAAGAATTTCATTACTATGGTATTTTGGATTCGTTCTGGGTCTGTCGAGAACCACATGGTCATGGCAGCAAACTGGTTAAAGAGAGGCATGGCCCTGAGCTCCGCATTAGCTTCTCCCCAGGGGCAGTGTCAGGACCCAGCAATGGCGCTGGAGGACATAGGGCATGAGAGCACCAGGAGCACCTGACAGGGCCGTGTGCACACAGGACACTGGGCTCTGTGAAGGCCCTGCTGACATCCAAGGAAATCAAAGTGTCAGGACTATGCTCCCTTCTCACCTGGACTCGCAGTCAGGATGAACCAAGCAGTCTCTGGTTTCTTTTGGTCTGGTCATACAATCTTGCAGAGAGCAGGGAAGGGGGGGCGGTATTTCTAACTGTACAGAGATCAGATAGCTTAAGAAGACTGCAGCTTGCCTGTAGGTTCTCAGGACACAGCGCTCGGGTGAGGGAGACCTGTGGTGCACACAGCCATCCCAGATGGTGAGCAGGTCTCCAGCTGCTCGGCGTACAGTGGCTGGGGCAGAGGCACATTCCAGCCCCGCAGACAGTGCGCTCTGGCCAAGACAACTGGGATCTAGAGTTCAGTACTAAATGAGAAAGGCCTAGGAGCGGTTCCTCACAGAAGCTGGACTGTGGCGTTGGGACAGCCCCAGGTCACAGGGGTGGGGACAGGGGTGGAAGAGACCCATGGGGAGGACTCCAGACCCAGACCCAGACCCTGCTCAACCTGGGGGCCTTTGGCCTGGCAAACCCACTAACTTTGTGCCAGATTTCATCTGAAAGAGAGGGTCCCTGTGGCTTTGGTTTGAAAACATTAATTCTTTACAATAAGATTGATGTTTTCCCGTAAGGAATGGGACCATCTCACATCTAGAACGTGCTGTCTCCTGCTCCCGTTTCTATCTCCTCCCCTGACCCTGAGGTCCACTCTCATCATAACAGCCAAAGTGAGCCTCACAAAATATCCTGATGTCAGTTAAGTTGGTTAAGTATCTGACTCTTTTTTTTTTTTTTTAATATTTATTTATTTGACAGACAAAGATCACAAGTAGGCAGAAAGGCAGGCAGAGAAAGAGAGAGGAAGGGAAACAGAGAGCCTGATGCGGGGCTCTATCCCAGGACCCTGGGATCACTACCTGAGCTGAAGGCAGAGGCTTTAACCCACTGAGCCACCCAGGTGCCCCAAATATCTGACTCCTGATTTTGGCTCAGGTCATGATCTCAGGGTCAGGGGATCAGGCCTCATGATGGGCTCGGTGCTGGACATGGAGCCTGCTTAAGATTCTCTCCTTCCATCTGCCCCACCCCCCAACTTGCACGTGTGTATGCAAGGATGTGCTCCCTCTTCCTCTCTAAAAAAACCAAAAGCAAAAACAAAAACAAAAAAAACCCAAAACCTAATGGAGCCACAGTCCAGGGGATGTCCTTTCCCTGTCTCTGGCAGCTTCTGGGGCCTGTGTGACCTGGTCCTCCATTACCTGGAAGATGTTATCTGCTATTACCACCCCTACCCCATACTCTGCTCTTGCCTCACCGGCCTCCTTGCTGATGGTCAGCGTGTGGACCTGCTCTCAGGGCAGGGCTTCACACCGGCCATGTCCTTGGCCTGAATGCTCTTCCCGAAGGGCTTGCATGGCTCCCTCCACCTCCCCTGTTCAGGTCCTTACTCAAGGTCATCTTGGTGAGGCTTAGCCTGACCCTATTTCACACTTACCAGCCCTCCCAATACCCACACCTGCCCTGTGCTTTTCTCACACTTACTATGCGCACTGTCTGCAGTTTGTCTACCTCTGTCTAGAATGTAAACACTGACAGCGGGAATTTTGTTTTATTCGCTGTTGTATCCCAAGTGCCCGTAGCCTGGCACGGGCTGGTGCTTAGTATTTGCAGAATGCCTACGAAGCAGTGACAGCTCTGAGTGCCTGGCTACCCAGGCAGCCAAGGAAGGGAGACCTCCATCAGCACTCCAGAAACCCAACAATGAGAAAAAGGAAAAGGGCGGGGTGGGTGATGGAGATGATCTCGGAATTGGAAGCCTTCCTTTTGGGACTCACAGTGGTTAGACCAATCGATGAAATGGATCAACACTTAGAGGCCCAACCATTTAATTAGAAAAATAGATGTACCTTAGTAATTCCCAAAACTCCAATGTTGGGACTGGATGAAGTAGAGCCATTCCCAGTACCAAATATGCCATCGAGAACACAGGAGAGACCCTCCACGAAAATCCCCCTAAAATGTAAAGGAATGGGGGAAAGAGAAACATTCATTCAATGGGGGAAACACTCTGAAATACGCTCCAAGTGGCTGCAACCCAAAGGTGGTGTGGGCGGGTGGGGAGCCTCCACACTCCTGGGAAGGGTTATGAGTACAGAGTCTCGGGTCCCCACCCCCAGACCTGCCGGAGCAGAGCTTGCATTCTATTTTAACAGGATCCCCCATGCTCATTCAACTGTGAGAAGCACTTCTGGGAACCACACATTAGACACAGGTGTTTAAAAACCATTCCAAATTAAAGGCTTTTAGCCAGAGCCATTGGTTGGGATCGAAGATAAATATGGGCTGTCTGCTGATCTGATTCCTTTACTATTAATAGTTTCATCAGGAAGGAAACGCTTCGTAATTCTGTCAACACTGCAACTTTTTAAAGAATCAATATATAAGTAGCTCTGTCATGTGCAACATCCTTTAGAGAAAGCTGTAAAAACCAGGAGTGTGAACACGAACAGAACTGAAGCAAGACATGCTCGGACAGCAGAGCACTGGATCTCATCACCCTCCATCCCTCCAGAAGGGCAGCGGCTGGCTGGCCAAGGGGTGGGTAGGGGCTGATCTGTGCTCTTCTCTGAGGCCTCCCCAGGGTCCAGTTTGCTCTCAGCATCCAGAAACGGAAGACCAGGTGTACTGAGGAGATAAACCCTACAGTGCAAAAGTCTCCAAATTCTGCAGACCGCACCTATGTCTGCTCCTCTCGTCTCTCTATACGGGAATTACAACTGTGAATAGATGACACAGCTTTTAGCCATAAGAACAGTAAGAGAAAAAAGAAATGAAAGGGAACATCCTTCCATGACCCCAAATCAAGCAAAGAACAACGGCAGCGTCCCGCATCTGCTGTGACGAGTTTAAGGTCTGGCCGGGTCTCAGAGAGAGTGTCTTCCGTGACTGTCAACATAGCGGGATGGGTGGAATTGCCCTCCATGCCCCAGATAAGGAAAATGAGAGCAAAATGGGGGCAGTGACTTGTCCAAAGCAGACAACCAATAAGGAGCCCTGATGGCTGGCTACTTCCATACTGAAACTCCTTCTCTTCTCCAAGATTAACCAAAGAGCCAGGTGATGAGGCACTGGGCCCAAGGAAGAGCTCCACTGTCAGAGGAACGTACCTGTTTATTGCATGGATGGGAGGCGGCGGAGCACAGGAGAGCCTTGCGCAGGCGTAATAGTCCCCAATGGACTCAATAATACTGGCGACCACCGCGCTGAGCATGCCGATGACACCAGCGGCAGAGACGGTGGGCAGTCCCCACTGAACTACGGAAGGCAAACAGGCGAAAGTAAGCAGGACAGCAGAGGACTCCACACCACGCACCCAGGTTCCGAGCCTCGGGGAAAATCTTTGTTGATTTTTAAATGTCACTCTTCAGTATACTACATGCCTGGGGACAGTTCCTAAATCAGATGAAGGTGGCCACAACTAGGATTGGTCTGTTCTCTGTCTTTCTTAGAGATAAAGTGATTAGAAGCAGAGGGTGCTTCCAAGCCACGCTTGGTGTCTACTAAATTACAATTTAACACAGCCTGCTGGGGTAGAAATTCCTGTTGGGATGGGATATTTGTATGAAGAAGATTTTTAACCCTGCTGTGCAAGGCATGGCACAAAACAGTGGCGATCTTGCCCAGGGGGTGGCATTAAATGAAAAAGCAGTGGAAAGTCACCAGCTAAATTTAAATCCCAGCAGTAAAGCATAGCACCAGATACAGACAGTTCCCTAATTGTAAGATCAGTGCTTTTTTTTTTTTTTTTTTTAAAGTAAACCATGTTATGCTAAATAAAATAGGTTCCTTTAGAAAAGCAAAGAAAAGTCCTTAGGACACTTTGTCTTGGATAGCTGGATTGCCACATGAGCCACACAGGGAGACTGGGTTTGGGAAGAGAAAGAGGACAAGAAGTAAGATGTGCAGATAAAAGCCTGGGATGTGTGTGAAGGCAGGAATGCTCCTGTCTGGGAGTAGAGGGGGGTGTGCCTGGTCAACACGGCATTTCCGGGTGGGTTTGGAGATTTTTCTCATGCTGATAATTTCTTTATCCAGCAACATTTTTTATATAATCTCTAATCTAAATAATCTTTTACATAGTTATTGTGTTACTGACAGAGTACTGTAGTTTCATTTTAGTGTCTTGTTTTTGGGGGGATACTTACTTTGCCATTGTTTCTACTGCCTTTTATTTCTTAGTCTCTTTACTCTGTTTTCTTATTTTTTTCCCATTTTACCTGCAGCCTTAAATGTGATTTTTAAAATCTTTATTCCAACTACTCCAACATTTTAAATTGTACTTGTCTAAATTTTTGATCCCTCTTCCTTCAAATCATTTCTATATACAGTATAGCCTTGAACAACACAGGTTTGAACCACACTGGTCCACTTACTAGCAGGTTTTTTCCAATAAATACAGTAGTGTAAATGTATTTTCTCTCCCTTGTAATTTTTTTAATAACATTTTCTTTTCTCTTATTTTTTTGTAGGGATACAGTATATAAAACATGTAACATACAAAACGTGTTAATTGACTGTTGACATTGGTTAGTAAGACTTCCGGACAACAGTAGGGCTTTTAGTAGTTAAGTTTTGGGGAGAAAGGTTATATGCAGATTTTCGGCTGCGGGGGTGAGGCACATCTCCCCACCACCGCCCACTCGTTCAAGAGTCAACTACAGGTGTGTCTATAAACTTTGTTGGCTTCCAGCCTTCTGTCTGAACTGTTACTTCATCTCCCCTTATAATTTATATTGTCACTTCACAGCAGTTTCTCAGTCTCAGCACTACTGACATTTTGGGCCCCCAATCTGTATTTTAGCCATTTTTCTCATGCTAAAGACCAAGGACCACTGCTGTAGATATCTGAAAACCTGTCTCCAGATGAAGCCAAACTGTTGGGGTGCGCTCTCTTGCTGTCTGGGGGTGCCCTTCTGCCCCAGGACTGGTGGCCCCAGAGCAGCTCGTGGCAGCAAAGGGCTGTGGTGAAAAGGAGCCTGACAGTGCGGGCCACCATCCTGGGGCCAGTAGCCCAGTCTACCTGGCCATGACCCTCAAGCACAGGCCGGAAGGACCCTGGGGACATCTCTCTGGTTTCTCAGCACATGCACAGCTGCTCTTCCGGAACAGCCCACCCCGTGTTCCTCGTCTGTGCTCATCTTAGGACTGGCCCGAGCCACAGAGAAGACCTCCCGGCAGGTGCTCCTCCTACCAGCCTCCCACACCTCCTCCTGACTGCCTGGCCAACCGGTTTCACCTCATTTTATATCAGATTCTATGTCTGTTTAGAAAACATGCATTTGTTGTTTTGGAGGGGGAGGGACAGATGTACATAAATACATAGACCATATGATCTGATGAGAATGTTATTTTAGAAAGAATAAACTTTTGTTAAGTATGAACAGGTCAGTGATGGAACAACTGCCAATATCACTGTCATTTAATATGCCCAGAACAGTTTTCTTTGACCCAACCTTGCTTTCTCAGTTTCTCCTACTTTTTCTCCTCATCATCATAAAATGTGAGGATGTGGCTGCTGAGCAGGGGAATAAATCAGCAGAACCCGACTAAGGTCAGGTTTCAGTTCTAATTAAAAGGCCCAAGTGCCGGGAACAGGGTCTTTACAACAGAACAACCAAGCATTAATAACCACTGGATTCACACAAGTCACTTTTGGGGCTGGGGCCCCAAAGTCCTCTGTGTGAATCCAAGTGATACCTCAGCTTGGGACTGCACCCCCCACACCTTGCCAAGAGTTACCCAACACTTAAATTATAACTCAAGAGCCATCTCCCAGTCATTAGTGAGTATCCGTTTACTTCTGACAGCTGTGACCAAATAGAAAACAAAGAGTATAGCTCCCCATTAAGAGATGACACAAATCCCATCATACTTGAGCAGTTGACTTGCTGATCTTCAGGCCTCTCCTACTTAAGCCTGCTCTGTGTGGGCAGCTCAGGTACCATGTGGCTCTATACTTGCCTTCTTCAACCCTGGCAAGGGACTCTTTGTCCAGGATTTCATCCCAGTGGAACCAAAAGTACTAGTTCATCTGGGAAGGGAGCTGGCAAGAGTCTCTGAGCATTAGTCACAGCCCTCTGGGGACAGGGCCTCCCCCGTCCGAGGTCAAATCCTCCAAATTGTAAGACCTTCATGGGACATTCTAGACCAAAGAAGGCTTTTCAAGCTGCAGAGCCTTCTGCCACCTTCCAGCTCCTCTAAAACAGGCTCTCATAAGCTCCCAACCCCCCTCCCTCTGGCCACCAGAGTACTTACATGGGTATGGGACCTTAAACCACGGGGCTACCAGAAGCACACCCTGCCTGGCATCCGTCCGAGCATAGAAGCCGTATTTTGTGCTGTCGGGAGGGAAGACGTCGGTCACTGTGAAGATGAAGCACAGCAGCCAGGACACGAGGATGGCCAGGATGATCTAAAGTGGTCAAAGGGAAAAGCTCCATGAGGCCAACCGAGGTGGTGGAGGCTGGCAAAACACACACCTTCCTCCTCTGGGCTGCATCTCACAACCCACAACCTCCACCATTGTTGGCACTTCGCAGGAAAAAACACACACAGACCTGCTGAGATCCCATTCCTGGATGGAATCACATTCCAAGAGAGGAGTTTTAAGCAGGTAAAGTTACTGTAACCCTCAGCCTGGCTAGAAAGTAAGAATAATGGACAATGTGCTTGCAGAGGCCATGGGAATACAGATCTCCCCGTCTTGAACTGTGTCCTCCTTCACACTCCTGAAAGGATTTTAGAATCAGAACCTTCTGCCACTGGTAAACTTTAAGCCAGTGACAATTTGTGGTCATCAGTACCCTGATGTTACCATCCCGACTTAATTCCCCCAGGAAGACCTGCTTAAAACTTCCTTCCACATGAACAAAAGCAATGTTGTCAAAAAATGAAAGTGACTACTCACGGGGAACATTTTGAAAAGCTGTAACTTGTACGCAGTCCATCCTTTCTTGGATTTGTAAATTGGGAGAGGAAATTTAACATTTCTGGCATACTGTGAAAACAACAATACTAGGAAAATTGTCCTGATGAGAGAGAGAGAGAAAATAAACTGGGTTAAAGGCTATCTGTGTTTTAAAATAATACTCAAAGCTTCAACAGCAAAACTGACCATATTATTCAACTCATTTCTCTAGGAGCTGCTAGTCCTTTTAACTGCTATTTGGGAAATCTTATTTTTTTAGAAATGCCATTTTGGGAAAGATACTAGTTCTAAGTATATCTTGATGCCAAAGGAAACTGCCATATAAATGCTTTGGCTAAATTTTCCTGAACAGGACAAGAAAACCCGAAGAATGCACAGCCTCAGGAGAGATGCTCACACTGTGTAAAGGAAAAAGATACCACATACAAGACAATGCACACTAGAATCACAACTATGAATTAGCTATAAGACAAGCACTTGCCACACAGGCATGAACACACACGCACGTGTGCAAACAGGTAAGGGGGTCCCAAATGCTCACAGGGATTGACTACAGGTAGCAATAGGTTTTGAGACTTTTCTACTTTCCCGTATTTTCTGATTTATGTATCAAGAGCATAAAGTTAGCTTCAAGAAGCAAAAAGCTTCAACATTTAAGAAGGCTACATACAGGATTCAGTATTAATAATTCCTGAGAGGTTTGTGTGTCAGACATTATATGAGGGTTGAACCGCCCACCATCCCAGCCTTCTGCAGCAGTGGCTTCTCTGACCATCCACGTCCCAGACAGATAAAGCCAGTGGTCCAAGATTACGCAGGCATGAGTTCGCGGGGGGTGGGGGGTGATTAGCAGGGGCCAGGGGGTCTAGCTCTGCAGCCTGGGCTCTGAACTACTTTGCCATACTATCCTAAGAGCAGGGATGCTAGGGCTGGCTCAGAAGGCTATCCACCTCAAGCCCCCGACCCCTGACCCAGCTGCACTGAGGATCAGAGGAGACAGCAACATCAGATGACTGCTCTGCAGCAGGACCCGGCACGTCCTCATCCGCCCGCTACCAAGCGCAGCAGGTGTGGGACGACTTCCCATTGCTGACACAATGAAGGTCTACAAAGACATGTTTCATCACCCACAGGGATGCACTCTCACTTACGACCCGAAGGAGAGTTGGCACAAGAGTGGGTTCTCAGTCAAAGTTCAGCTTAATTGTTCCTGGGCACAGCTCCAATTGCAGAGATGGAATTATCAGCTCCGCTGACAGCCGGTCAAGTGCAGCTTCACTGTCACACTCCTAACGAGGCACGTGGTCTATAGCTAGCCAGAGAACAGGCGCAGGCCGCTCCATCCTCTCCCCACCTACCCAAGCACTTTGTCCACCTGGCGAAGGGGGTCTCAGCCCAAATACAAAGTCATCGAGCCAGTACCAGTTTGAAGTTGGAAATACACATGTGCCCAAGCTATTCTAATTCCCCCCAGGGTGGTAAAGTTTAACTTAAAAATGTTATGGTGGGGAAACCTGGGTGGCTCAGTGGGTTAAACCTCTGCCTTTAACTCAGGCCATGATGTCCGGGTCCTGGGATCAAGCCCCGCATCAGGCTCTCTGCTCAGTGGGGAGCCTGCTTCCTCCTCTCTCTCTCTCTCTCTGCCTGCCTCTCTACCTATTTGAGATCTCTGTCTATCAAATAAATAAATAAATATCTTTTTAAAAAAATGTTATGGTGAACACTTGGGTGGCTCAGTTGGCTGAGCATCTGCCTTCGGCTCAGGTCATGATCCAAGGATCCTGGGATCAAGTCCAATTATCGGGCTCCCTGATCAGCGGGGAGTCTGCTTCTTCCTCTCTGTCTGCTGCTCCCCCTGCTTGTGCTCGCTCTCTCACTCTCTCTGTCAAATAAAATCTTTTAAAAAAATGTTATCGTAATGACGGGTGCTAAAACTGGTTTACTTTAAATTTAGATTAACATAAAGTTTTCATGTTCCAAAAAATGCTGATTTATTTCAAAGTGAACACTATGAGATTCCAAAAGGCCCCAAGTCCATTATTCAGGCAACAGCCACCTGTCATCGCCTGCAATATGGTGTTCACGTTTTAAAGCATGTTTACAAGGGGAGGGGGGACAGAAAATTCCAGGAAGGACACCCAGGTCTCAGGCCAAACCTGGCCATGCAAATGAAGTGGGCGGACTAAGCAGATGGACGCTCCATTTTCCTGCCACTCGGAAACCCATCCCCCCCTTTCTAATTTGTTTGTCCTCCAACAGCCTGTGTAGCAGGTGGGGCAGGCAGTCCCATCACAGAGAGGCCACAGCAGAGGCTCACAGGTGAGGGATGTGCCCGAGCCCACGCATCTTGGCCAAGCAGGAAGGGGAAAGGATGAGCCAGCCACAGGTCCTCAGGCCAGGGTTCGGTCCAACCACAGGCTTGCTGACTTTCTACCGGACAAGTATTATGCAAGCAATGCAGACTACAATGTAGGAAAATTATAAAAGGCAAATAAGCAAAAAGAAAGACAAAATCCTAAAGACCACTCATCACCCCAGCTGGGTAACAACAACATAACATTCGGCCTATAGATTCTGAACAGCTTCCACTCCCTGGATATTTATAGGGCATCACTGGGTCTGGGGCACCAGGGTTAGAGAGGGACATGGGACCACTGACGTCACCCTTGCCCTTGAAGCACTAATAGGTCATCTGACCCAAAATGGAATCACACTTCACAACATGCTTCCCAACTAGCTTGTAGCCCCTATTAATGACACAACCTCAACAGATGGAAATAAGCAACAGCACCTCAGTGGCTTCTTAGCGTTCTGCCTTATGCACATACCATGTCTTGTTACACAATTTCCATATGATGTGACACCAGGAGCATAAACAACTGTGGTAGATCACCCCTCCTGGCACCTGTCTACACATCTCCTTAGGGCAGGTTCCTAGGACTGGAATGGATCTGTCAAACAGTAAATGCCTTACGAAAAAGCTCTTTTTTTCCTTATTAAAAAGCTTCTGATACAAACTGCCAAATACACAAAAGTTGAAAGAATTTACAAATCCCACCCAGAGACCAAAGACATCCACTTGCTTCTCACTGCAATACCAGGTCTTATACTTTTTTTTTTTTTTTTAAAGATTTATTTGAGAGAGAGACTCTGAGAGAGAGCAAGTGAGGAGGGGCAGAGGGACAGGGTCCCTGCTGAGCTGGGAGCCCACCAGGGCCTGATCCCAGGACCCCGAGATCATGGCCTAAGCCGAAATCAAGAGTCAGAGGCTTAACCAACTGAGCCACGCTGGTGCCCCATAAAGTCTTATACTTTTAAATACCTACCAATTTCGTCAATTTAAAAAATTATCGTCATTTAACTTTCATTCCTTACACTGAAGAGTATGTATCTCAGCATTGTTCACAACAACAAATGCTTCAAACAACAAGCATGAGTATCAATGGGGAAATGGTTTCGTAAATTCTACACTATTCCATACTATTTAGCATTGTGCAATTTTACAAAGGATGGAGTAGATCTAAACACAGTCTTAGAGAGATGAGCCCGGAAAACTGTTAGGGTGAAAAGCAGACGATCCCGGTAAAGCTGCATCTGTCACTATGTTCGTGTTCAGGCATACAGGGCAAATACGAACTTCTCACTCATTAATCGTGACTTTTTTTTTTTTTTTGAGGGGTGGCAGTAGGTAGGAGGAAATATTACTTTAATTTAGATTTCCCTGTTTAATTACTGTTAAACTTCAAATGACTAGAATTTTAATATATTTAATATCTGTGGTGATGGTACATGGGGGTTCCTTACACTATTCTGTATTTGAACAGGTTTGAAAACTGTATGAAAGTAATCAAAATAATGTTTTCTCATGAAAAGCAGTTCTCATCCAGGACCAATGCTTGGAGTTGGAAATGTCACCCCATTTATCCTCTCTTGAGAACCTGCCTCTAACTGTGCCTCTCTTGGCTGACTTAGGAATCTGTGTCAGTACAGTGTGACCTACCACCACTGCCCCCACTGCCAATAAAATCCCTATGAAGGGGCACCTAGGTGGCTCCAGCAGTTAAGCGGCTGACTCTTGATTTTGGCTCAGGTCATGATCTCAGGGTCCTGGGATCAAGCCCCACATTGGGCTTCACGCTCAGCGGGGACTCTGCTTCATGATTCTCTCTCTCCCTTTGTCCCTCCCCCAGCTCTCTAAAATAAATAAATCTTAAAAAAAAAAAAAATCCCTGTGAATATGCAGCATTGTGATAACCAGGGAGGCTAACCCCTTTTACATACTAGTTAGCTATTTATACTTCCTTTATTTGATTAAATGGCTGCTCATATGATACCCTTCATCCATTATTCCACCAGGACTCTCCCTTAATGAAACTATAAATTAAGGACCTTAACCTTTTTAATGGAATTTGTTGTAAATATATCCAAGATTCATTTATAATTTAGTTTGTGGGTTTTTTTTTTTTTAAAGGTCTTATTTATTTATTTGACAGACAGAGATCACAAGTAGGCAGAGAGGCAGGCAGAGAGAGAGGGGGAAGCAGGCTCCCTACCAAGCAGAGAGCCCAATGTAGGGCTTGATCCCAGGACCCTGGCATCATGACCTGAGCCAAAGGCAGAAGCTTAATTTCAGTGGATTTTGATGGGAGTTTTAAATGCATCAGTAGTGGGGCGCCTGGGTGGCTCAGTGGGTTAAAGCCTCAGCAGGGAGCCTGCTTCCTCCTTTCTCTCTCTCTGCCTGCCTCTCTGCCTACTTGTGATCTCTGTCAAAAAAAAAAAAAATCTAAAAAAAAAAAAAAAGCATCAGTAAAATCGATCAGTCTCTCTCTTTTCAATATCTGCTTTAAGAAGGATCTTCCCCTGGGCCCCTGGGTGGCTCATTGGGTTAAATGTCTGCCTTCAGCTCATGTTATGACCCCAGAGTCCCAGGATGGAGTCCCGCATCAGGATCCCTGTTCTGTGGGGCGTCTGCTTCTCCCTCTGACCTCACACACTCTTTCTTGAAAAAAATAAATAATCTTTAAAAAAAAAAATATCTTCCTTGCCCATGATTAAATATTTATGTACATTTTCTTCTGGCACATTTATTGTTTTACTTTC